ACGCAGAGAATGCATTCAGGCGAAGCCATTATTAACCGCGGGCATTTCATGGCGCGCCTCCACCACAGAGCTAACGATTCGCTACGTCGCACACTCCAAATATGTCATTAATATTTAATGGGTCTTAAAATCTATTATTGAAAACCATAAAGTAACTCTTCTTTTATTATGGCCCGTGCCGAACGAGCGATGAATCTTGCGAATGGTATTGCGATGTGCAATACGCGCATTCGATCTTGCTGTTCGCACACAACGCCTCTCTTGTTTTTATTGTCTTTCCACCACGCCTCGCCGCCGACGTATTGTTTTCGAACGCGCGCGCGATATAAAGTCTCCGCCACTCCAATGAAATGAAAAGAGGAAATAAAAGCATTGTGTCGCAATCGCTTGAAACTGGATTTGGTTTGGCATTAAAACGATCGCGACCGTTATAAAGCCTTTATAAAAAAAGAGCGAATCGTTTTATAAGCGAATGTAAAAATTGTCGTAAAATTTGTACGCTGGACATGCTGTATGCTCACGCTCGATGAGAAAATAATCGGAAGAAGATTAATGTAATTTCCGCTTTTCGCATTCCTCTGAGGATGAACCCATAACGACCAATAAATCATATCAGGATCAATCACGACGAGCATCCTCTCCTGGACGTCTCTATTCGACGATTCATTTACTATTGCCCGTCTGAATTTAGTGAAAAAATCTGCTAGAAAGAAACTCTACAAGTTTTTGGATAAGGAAAAAAGCCATGGCCGTTTGTTTAAATCTCAATGGATTTGTTGTCATTTGAGTCTCGGAGGTTAGAATCGTGGGCTAGTCATCGTTAGCCCGGTTAGCCACAAGACCGGAGTGGCTGCCGGCTCCCATCTCGGCCCTTTAGTGGACTTTAACGGTGTTAAAGACTTAATTTACAAAACGTTTACGAAAACATTCGCCCGAAAGTTACGCCGACGTAAATGACCAAAGTTGGTCGGAGGGATCCTTCGCGCTATGATAAATTATTAAAATCGCGCGCGGAGCTTAAAAGGGGCGAATTAATTTAATTTCGACTCGTGGCACGCACCACTCACTAACTTCAACTGCAGGAAGTGAAAAAGCAGGAGGAACAGCTTGCCCATCAACATAATATAGAAAAATAAAATTATAATGAAATGTCGAAAAATTTGTTATTTTTCATCACCGATATAAAATTTATTTTAACACATTTTCCTCTTTAAAGAAATTTTTTGCAATAAACAGGATTGAAATTCCCACGCATCAATTTTTACTAGATTCTGTTGTCCTGATGTTTCACTATATGCGTCCGGTAGCGTCATCGCACCGGAAGCAACCATCGGCGATAATATTGGACATCCGGCATTAAAGTGTCCCGTTCGGTGATATGTAGTCTGCACGCTAAACAAAACGCCGCCCCAAGCGACGTAAAATAAACTAAACAATACGCGTCGATAAATTATCGACTAGGAAGGGCTTCGTTTCGCTTCTGAGACATCAGTGCGTTGCAGGATTTAGAAAATAATTATATATTGCGATCAGGATTTGCTTAACCGCATCGTCTTTAGTCGAAGCAAGAAAAAACTCATCCATTGTTAAATGTCCCAGCTCCTGTTCGAAATTGTTGAGGCGTTAAAATTTGATTTACTCGCCCAACTTGTTATCCTGTTCGATGCACGTTAACTATTTGTCATGCATACGTTTCTGAGCGCGGACGCAAAGTAAAAGGACTTAAAAGATATCGATAAATTTCCTCTCCGGCTCTAATCAAACTTGAATCATAAATTTTAAACTTTAAAGTGAATAATGTGTGTGTGCAAAATATGCGTTGATGATTATTCAATACTGTTTTTGTTGAAGGTTTCGTTTAACCGCAATGCACGAAAGGTGAAAATGCAAAAAGAAGAATTAGGTGCGAGGAAATTTAGGGTTAGTTAATTGTATTTCCTGAAATGCCTCAGTTTCCTGTGGGAGGTGTGTCCGTGTGGGTTTTACTCCAGCCGGTAATGCTTCATATATACCGTGGGCAACAAACTACCCGGAACTCAAACACCAACAAGCCTTAAATCAGTTTTGCAATTACAAAACTTTAATCAAGTTGTGGCTATTTTATTCAAGCCCATCAAAACTTGCAACAAGTGTTTTGATGAAAATCCAAAATTCGGACTGAAGTTAAAAGTCAGAGTATACAGTGTTGATACTTTTGATATCACTTTGTATTTGCCGGTGGTATCTATACTGTAAACTAGAGGTAGTTTTGTACAAAGCCCTCAAACTAAACGCTCTTTGTTCGACGAAAGCATCTACGCAAACCGGGCGTCGGGGCCGAACACACAACCTAACGTAATTTAACGCAATCGATGCCGAATTGTGGAATTTAAGTAAATAGACTTGTACTCCTGAAAGCAAATTCGATATGGGTATACAACGACTCGAAGCGTAACAATTCCCAGGCATTACCTACTTGAAAACGTCAAAAAAGCCGAAAAAAAGTGCGCAAATGTAAACGAGCGCAATGAGTGAATTGAAAAACGTTTCTCGACGTGGCGATAAAAAAGGAAATAAGACGCTTAAAAAGGCTGCAACAACGTCAAATGATAAAATTGTTTGATGAAGTGCGAGCGTGATGATGATGATTACTCCATTCGCAGCCGTGCGCGCCACGCGCGTTGATGAAGAAGTCATAACGTCGCATCGCTGAGCTGGCAGCAAGTCGCATACCGCCTGCCGCCGCCAGGCGCAATGGAAAATTTTCGTTTTGGTAATTAGCAGATTTGTACGCTGCGAAGACGGAATATTCCAACTGCGTGGCGGTCGCGGACGAAACTTGCTGGAAGCCTGGAGACGTGATTACTTACGAGGAAACTTTGCATTTAAATTTCAGTCGGCGCGCGTTGCAGCAGCCACCTCTACTAACCGAGTCTATTTTCGCAAAATTATTATATCGATTGAAATATATATTCATAACGGTGCTTCGGCCATTAAAACTCACGATACGGGTATGCGCTCTTTTACCACTCCCCACTATCAAGAAACAACTATTCGTACTTGCGTTATTTTTCGCTCGTGTGCGAAGCAAATTGAAATTCAACGCGTATAACTTTTGTTTTATTTCGCTACACATACAAGTATAGCCATCTAGGAACGATGGCAAGTAATGTTCGTAATCAACTTACGAACGTTCAGATAAATTGGCGCCCGTAACAACTCCAACACTTCCTCTCATCACGCGCACATGTTGATAGCAAACGATAAGGTTTCTCGATCATTTTTCTCTCTCTCATGCACACACGTCGACGTGTACTTATTTTAATTCAACCGCATCACGATTGCCCGCAGTGGCGATGGGATGAATTTCCAATCTAATTCTTCGAAAGCAAATATAAACCGAATCACGCGATGAACAAACACCGAACGACTCCGCGCGCCACGCGCGCTTATCACGCGATCTCGACTCTCAATCCGACGTGCATCCTACACTCGACAACCATCGCCCACATCGACACTATCGACGCCGTCATCGTGATCGTGCACTTCGAGCGGTGTAACGATGCTGTCGCTGTAATGTTGTCAGACTCAGTATTGTAACAACCTTCCAGCCCACCAACACAACCTCAGGGTAAACCCGCGTGGATCGGCACGTTTCGATCCAAGATCGAGGCGTTGGGGTGTCGTGGCGCACCCCCATTCTGTAAATCGGAAGTGTCGTGACAGCTATCCGATTATCCAATCACGAACCGTATTTATGTGCCAAAACAAACTACTTTTAAACACCGGTTAAGTTAGATTGATCCCGATGCGATCGAGCGCCCCGCGGCAAGGAAGGGACCTCGCGTGACTGACGACTACCCCGTGGCGCCGTTAGAAAATATTGATTCCCTTTGTTACGTGTCAATTCGAGTTGCGTTTTGGGCCCGGTGCTAGCACACATCATTACTACACCATATTTCGATAAGATCCATCAATCGCTATTACACTACTCACCCTGATCATTTTCTACCGAGTGTAACTGTAATTTTATTCCGTCTGTAGCATAACTTTTCCGAGGGCATAAAGTTGGTTATACCTAATGCTTTTTATGATTTTTACGGTTACGATGACAGCGCCCGGTTGAAAATTGTGTCGCTCGAAGGGGCAGAGGCGCGGCACGCGCACTTTAAATGATGTGCCGCATGAAACTCATCCGTTTTCATGCCGCCGCCTATTAGTAGGCGCCCATTAACCTTTTATTGCGCGGAGAGGCGGGCGGCTGCGACGACACTTTTGATATTCCACAAGAAATAACAAAGCGTTTTCGGCGTCGGCGTGGTGTACGTACGACATAATGAAGGTGTTTACATGCGGCCGCTGTCGACCGGCAGTGTCATTGCCGTCGTGTGCGCGCGCTCGGATAATTAGCAAGCCGCTGAATGTCCGCTCTCATATAGATGCCCGCCTGGCTCTTCATTATCGAGAAGGGCCTGCTCCTCCTATTAGTGTGCTAACAAATGATGTCGTATTATATTATCCACGCAAACATTCCAGGCATGCAAAATGTTTTCCTTTAAAAACAAATGCTTTACAATAAAAAAATGCAACTTGTAAAAACCTAATAAATCTGTATATACGCGCGTAAAGTTACAATGTATAAAAATGATCTGCTTTATCAAGATTAAAGCAATTAAAACGACGAGCGCGATGCGCGCGCGCAGTAGTCATGAAAAGCCCCCCGCGTATAATTTAATTAGGATGCAAGGCATTGTTGTAAAACTACCGTAAAGAACTAATGCGGGAAATTGTGCATGCTACATTTTTCTGCGCGGCAGCTGCACCAGAGATACTGACCCGACGGAGTAGATAAAACCGTATAAAATGTTACGTCCGCTCGCTCGCGAGACAGCGCCCGCTTTATGGATCATAAAACCTAACACTAAAACTCAGAATGTATCAAACTATCGATTTCATCGGGGGCCGTTGGGAGACATCTCAAAGATGTCACTGTCCATGAACTACCCTCAAAAACAAAACAAAAACAACGATTGCTATATTAACAACGCGCATTTGCAAAATTGAAAGTTTTACAGTTTTCACGACTTTCAAAATATCAAGCGCAAATACATGGTTAATTCTTCTTAGTAGACTTGGATTTTTTGGCAGCTGAATTAGGAGTATTTACGTTGTTCTTTTGTGCCTTAACGGCTTTCGTACTTTTTGCCTTCTTGGCGGAACCATTGGTCGATTTCAAGTCGTTGTTAGTCAATTTGAAGTCCAATTCGTTGCTGCGATAGGCAAGCGGATTCTCCGACAATCTCTCCTTGATGTCCGCGTCGAGCTCCTCGTGGGTCACCTCGCTGATTGCCTTGCCGCGACCGTAATATATATCTTCGGTGTAAATCCGATCCTTTCGCCTGTAGGTCCCGTGCAGCTGGAAGTGTATAAAGTGCATTGAGTCATGAAACGGGGCGTGTAGGGTTCATAGGACTATCTAAAGCCTCTCGAAGGTGGCGAGAATGAAGGAAGCGCTTACTTTATCCCATATGAAGCAGTTGAAGCCAAAGTTAACATGGAAATATTGGTGATGATTGTCATGGAAGATCGCGTCGGGTTGCCACGGTTGCCACCAGTACGCTTTGAAATTCACTCCGGAGTGATCGATGATGCCGTGATAATACACGTAGATCTGAATGGCGTAGTAGGGAACTGAAACATATCGGTAAATACAATGTGGTATAGAAATGCGTTATAGCCTAATACGGATTAATATGTTTAATGATTGAAAATGTAGGCTAACACCTTGTTAGTGACATCAAATGAGCTCGTTAGGCTGTTTGCTGTGGTACTACTTACGCCAGTGCACAGGAAGGACAAATAGTGGCACTAGATACGTCGATTGTATGTGGAGACTTTCCACTGGATGGATGGCGGTTACCGAAAACGCAGTTGGTTGTTTGTACTTGTGGTGAAGCTTATGGAAGTGTTTGTAGAGGAATGGCGTATGGTACAATCTGTGTATCAGATACGTTATGTAATCCTATTAACAAAATAGACACATAATTAATACGCATTCCGTCCTTTTGGCGACGGGATTGTTGGTCTTCGCCTCCGCATTATGTACACATTAAATTAATTAGTGTACAATAGACTGCTGCGCAATCATCTTTGAAAAATAGCTTCTAGATCTCACGATTCATGCATGTTTGCTTTCAAATTGCAAATTTGCTCATCACTGGCTCATTGTTGAAGTTGGGAGCTTACCTGATAGATGAATACGATTGGCACTTGCAGCAGATTCCACCACCACGGATAATCGCCGAAATTATAATAAACGGTGCTGTATCCGCCGTTGCTGATGTAACAGCTGACTAATGCCGACGCCGAGCTGTTCACCAGCAGAGTAAAGCTGCCGAACAGAATTTCATGCAGCTCCAATTCAGGCGAAAGCCACTTCTTCGGCTGGCATTTCCATTCCTCGGGGCGATCCCGTTGTCGCACGTAAAAGTACCACTGAAAGCAAATACAATAAAATGTCACCTTTTCTTATTGCCAACGACCTCGCGACATCCACATAGCATACGATTATCCATGCATAGAAACAAGCTCTAAAATTTTACGAGCCGCACTCTCCATCGCCACTCTAACGTTGCTTGTATGTTTTTTTTTTGCATGGCAGGTTTTTGCTCATTGTTTTATCGCGTCTTTTCGTCGCCTCGGCATGTTTACACCACGGCATCGGCACGTAGTCGCTGACGGACGACGACAAATGTTTATGTGACCATCGTAAAAGGCAATTTGCACCTTTTGGTGCCGAAGAGTTTACTACAACTTTAGAGCCAGCGCCGGAGGCGGCCATCCTTTCCATTTTCGCGGGGTGCCATCTTTTTTTATTTTTCGAGCATATTGCTTTCGGAAGCGGAATACTTCGATATCTTAGGTCGTGCCACCCGAATATTGCCTCAGGTATGCTTGTTTGTTCAAACAGAAAGAAATGTAACTTAACGATGTCATTGACTATGCGTAACTCACGTGTAGGAAGCCTCCGATCACGAAATAGATAGTGTAGGAAACAATGACGGCGCCCAGCCAGAAACCCCATAGGTTTGCAAAGCGTTTCTCCCAGATGTCGGACCAATGTTCCAGAATTGCTTTCTGGTTGAAGTAACCGAATTGCTTTGCAATATGCACGGATATATTCAGCCATTCACCTATAAAAACCCAAATTATTTATGTTATTGAAATATACTTCCGATGTAAAACATAAAATTTTTATCAAATAAAGTAAATAAACAACTTTGAATACAGAATACAAAATACGTTATTATAAAATAGTAATATGATTTAGGTCGTTTCAAAACAACAAGTATAGTGTGATACATGTTTTTCTGTTGTTGGAAAACTGAAATTGTGAAAGAACCAGGGCAAAGTCGCCGGCAAACAATGAAAAGCAATGTTTTGAGGGGAACGTACGATATTTACGAGTTCCTTTCTATTTGAAACACAATAACCCGAAAATCCATAGCAACCGGAACCCAGATCATTGACCACTGTTTGATTTTTCTTTAAAACAGTATCACAATGCAACAATGAATAAAAAAATCAAGCACCAATCAAAAGTATACAAAATAATTACATACCGTTGATTGAAAGACCAAGTAAACAAATTGCTATCGTGGCCACTATCTTCGACACAAAACTTGGCAGTTTTGACCAACCGGTATCCAAACTATCACTGTATTTCTCCGCCCAGCGCACTGCCATTGGATCATTTGGAACTTTCTTCGCTTTGGCCATTATTAGTAACACTATTTCTTAGCAATAATTTAGAAACACCTCTGACCGCGGTACGAAAGTACCGAGACTCAGTACGCTTCATCTCGGAAATATATAGTATCGAAGTCTCAAACGCAAAAAATTATCTCAAGTGCCCCAGCTGTTCATTAGCATATTACATGTTAATCGCTGTTATCAATCAAATTACACAACAAAGTTCGTGGATTATGTGTTGTTAGACGTTGAAAACCTATTAATAGTGTACATATCTTTTTGGGCAAGCATTTGAATGTCTGATTGAGATTAATCATCATTCAGATATTGAGATAAGAGATTACACATAACATAACAAGCTTTTGATGTTATCAAAACAAATATTTGTACGTTGTGATACATGTATGTCCATCTGTTGTGTTTCTGCTGTACTATTCCGTGTTCAGCGTGCTAGAATGGTCCTGGTAGCGGCATCTATGTTCCTTTCTTGAAAATATCCTTGAATTCAACGGAGTGGGAGAGCGAGGTCATTTGTAAAAGTCCTGCTGGCGTGCAGGTGGCACCAGTGATACTATGGAAAATATTTTCACCCACAGTTTGAATGCAAATGCGAAAACAAATGAGTGTTAATTCCTCGGCTCCGTAAACTCCGAAAGTCGTAACATAAAATATAAAACCGTTTTATGCTGCGCTGGCCTCGTTTCTATGAATAATAATACAATTAAATTTTTATTCCGTTTTAACACAGACTCTAAAAGTGAGTCATAATTAAATACGCTCAGATTGCAGATAATCGCCGTTGCTGCCTGCACGGATATGCGAAGAGTTTCGCAATTTTTAACGAGGTTTTCTCGCATCCGAAAATGCATGCACACGACACAACGATATGTACATATTCATACCTGCTCGTTTAAACGAACGTTTTATGGAGTTATAAATTCGTGTAACAAATGCGCCATGAAATTAAATCCGCTGCCGGGCGCGTTCGGTGCTAAATTTGCACGCACAGAGGAAAAGACCCGAAGAGTTTTGGAAAAGTTTCAACCGTACAAAACAGCTTTTCGACTGGAATAAAACGTTATTGAAAAGACTCGAGTGAATACAGTCGCTATGCGAGTATATTGATAATGTTTGAAAGTTTTTAGTTTCGGCGCAACGCACAAATTTAAAGTCAATTATTGATCGGCGTCGCATATCAAATCGGATACCCATTGTAATCGGGTTCAAAGCGCGTTGGTACGAAGATCAATTGATGCGCCGATACATTCGAAGCAAGTTGCTGTAAAAAGTCGGCAGACGACGAATGCAACAGTGAAGAGAAGTGTGTGTGTGTGTTCCAAGAGAAATGTTGGAGGTTGGAAGTTGGAAGTCGGTTCGTTCATTCATTGCAAATTCAGCTAGGCCGGAAGATTTATTGGATCGCTTTGATTTAAATCGCGATCGGTCGGGCGTTCTTCTTCGTCGGCGCGTTCTTATTGAATGTGTCGGCGCTTTGTGCTGCAATACGACGCCGCAATCGAACGGAAATGTTCGGAAAACTTGCTGCAAACAAGTGCACTTACCTCACAGAGTCGGCTGAATAAAATTTATGAAAATTTTAACTTCTATATATCTCTATTCGTGATTTAGTTGAAATTTATTTGCGAGCCGGGAAACATTTAGAATCGTGTGTGCGTGTGTGTGTATTTGCATCTTCTGATGTCGACAGATTTGTTGAAAGCACTTACGAGCATATGAATGGCAGGCATTTATTAATAAATCTCTTCGAACGCTGTCGAAACGTTCGCTCGTACGTTGGCGCGATTGCGAATGGCAATTTGTTATGCCGCGGGAAGCACATAACAAGTTTACGACTGCCGCTTTAATAATGAACACCATTAAAAGTCAAACGTGTAATATTCATTATGTGCTGTAAAAATGAACGCGCAATTAATTATGTTTGTCTTGCCGTGGTTGGCACGAAATAGGCATAATAAAAAGCGAATTAAAAACACAAAGCTATTCATCTCGAAATGGCTAATTAATTTTATTGTTAGAGATAGATTAGTGTATGCAAATGTTTGGCAACGCTACAGTATTTAGGTTATATGATTGCGAGTATACAAACGCGATCGGCTTCTTTGATGACTGACCAAGCCTGTCAGAAACACACAATCGACTCTCAATCATACACCCCATAAAAGTGAAGAGTAGGTGAATGAATCCACTATTTTATCAAAATAAACTCATTATATGTGATTTGCGCTCTGTCACTAACCAAATAGCAGTTTTTATCAATTTATATTGACTTTGTCTTATTTTACGCTTGGAGTAAAATCAAAAAAGTAAAAAATATTTAAATAAATCATCTAGTTATGTGATTGATTAACAGATATTATAAAATATATTCTAAATAATATAATCTATAACTATCCACGCTCGATATATTAAATTCAATAATGCTAATTCAATTTAATAATGCTGTTCATTGAAATCCGTGTCCTTGCGAACGATTACAGGTAGACGGCAATCCCGCCATTCAATTGAAATTTTTGAGACAAAAATTAACATGGCGGAAAGAAACTCCAAAAAAATTAAATAGTTCACGAGATATATGGTGTTTTCCACATTATGTTTTCAATTTTTTTTGAAAATTGCTCATTTTTAAAGTGCATTTTAGGGCACTTTTAAAAGGGCTAGGGGGTTGGATATATTAGCGTCGTGTTGAGGAACTCCCGAACTTTGACATGGGAAAAAGGAACTCCAAAAAAGCCAAACAATTCACGAGATATAGGGTGTTTTCTACACTATGTTTTCAATCTTTTTAAAAATTGCTCATTTTTAATGGGCATTCCAGGATACTTCTGAAGGGGCTAGAAAACAGAAGAAATATGCATCGTCTAGACTCTAGAGGAACTCTTGATCTATAACATGGCGGTGACAAAATCATAAAAAGTCGTCCATTCGTTTATGAGATACAGTGTGTTTTCCATACCATGTTTTCAATATTTTTTTAATTGCATTTCCGGAAGTGCTAGAAGTCTTATAGAGCATCTTATAGAGAGACTCTCGAACTTTAATATGACAGTGAGAAACTTTAAAAAAATTAATTAATTCACAAAATACAGAGTGTTTTTCACATCATGTTTTCGATTTTTTTGAAGAATGCCAATATTTAAAGGGAGTTTAAGAGCACTTTTAAAAGGGGTAGAAGATTGAAAATTATACTTGGGGCAGAGGGGTTCTAGAGCTTGAACATGGGTATAAAAAATTGAAAAAACTCAATTAGTTCGGATAATACAGCGTGTTTTCCATACTATGTTTTCAAATTTTGTGAAAAATGTCAATTTTTAAAGGGCAATTCGAAGGAATAAGAAGATCTATAACAGTTAATTAGTTCAAAAGATACAGGGTGATTTCCACACCATATTTACATACTTTGTGAAAAATGCTACTTTCTAGGAAACATTTTAGAGCATATTCAGGAGGGCTAGGAGGTTGGATATGTATGCATCGTGTAGGGGAACTATCTAACTCTAACATGTCGGTGAGAAACTGTAAAAAAGACTATTAGTTTGCGAGATACAGGGTGTTATTTTGCAAACCACAACCAAAACGAAATTTTGCAGTGGTACTCGTACGATAAATCTCTAGCAAAAGCAACGTGCCGAAACCAGGGATTGAACCAGAGACATTTTGATCTTCAGAATAAGGCTCTCCCAACTGAGCTATTTCAACTTATTGACAAATGATTGTAGCAATTTTACTACACAAATCATTGTTTTTATACAAATAAGAAATTTATAATTCTAAACTACATTTTAAATCAAAGACACTCGAATTAATTTGGAGTGATACTGGATGGCAGAATGATACAGCTTGCTTTTAAATTTTTGAGTAATGGCAATTTATAAAGTCATTTTAAGGCACTTCCAAAAGGTTTTGAGGGTTTAATCAAACTGTAAATAGAATAACAGAATTTTTATAGTTTCTGTTATTCAATACCTTCACTCACACATCACAAACATGCACGATTGAATAAACAAATAGTCGAATTTAAATAGTACTTTTAAGAGCATTCCAAGATGTCGCTAGGATGTCCTTTTTGACTAAAAATATTCCCGCGAGTTTACCACATCGTTCTTGTAATGTTTTGTAAACATTGACTATCGTAGCAGCGGATTTTATCAACTCACGTCCACTTTATCACATTTCACGCTTGAAATGTCAAGTGAATCAATTAAAAATAATAAAAGTAAAGAATATGTGAATGAATTTACTATTTTATCATAAAGAATTATGTGATTTGCGCTCTGTCACTATCCCAATAGCAACTTTTATCAATTTACATTGATTTTATCTTATTGGGCGCTTGTAAAGAATATTTAAATAAAAGTTTTACGATTAATTAACAGATATTATGTAGTATACGATGCGATTTAAATGTAAATAATATAAACTTTGACTATTTTTGCTTAGTTTGTAGATGTTCAATTTAATAACGTTGTTCAAAAAAATCTGTGTACTTGCGAGCGATTACAGGTACACCTCTGCAACGCCATTTAATTCTATGCACGATCGGTTATCAAATGCCCGATTCAATAACCCAAACAGTCGATTTTAAACTGAACTCTTAAAAATATTCAAAGATGTCGCTAGAATGTCCGTTTTATCTAAAAATACTTCGTGATAAACCGCTTCATTAACAACTAACATTTGACATATCAAATTATTGAAAAATATCGTATAATACCTATATACAAACTAATTACAATATTTCAAATTGTGACATGTCAGTTTGTTTAAAATTTTATTGAGTTGTTGTGTCGATGTTTACACTGGTGTGATGTAATTAATTAAAATTTTATGGCGTCCGCGCGCCCGCGAATGAAATGTTAACATCCAATTGCCATTAATATGTTGGTTTTTTCAACATTCGTATAAACGTACCTATAGACATATTTAGCATAACATATATTCATGTGAGTGCGTTTTATTCATTATTCGATTCCATTAACCGAAGTCGAACACGGCAATCTACATATGCAAATGGATATCATTATAAAACGGGAATCGATGCAAACGGCATTAATTAATCGAAGTTATAGGAAAATAATTTATAAAATATTTCACATTCTACA